GGCCGGACCAATACTCAGGGTCTTAAAATAGCTGAGAAATGAAGGTACTTCCTTTGCCCTGCAGGCGGCTAGACCTTCGCGTGGCTCGGATGACCACGTAAAATGGCGGTCCCGTCTTCATTAGGAGACGTAAAATAGTGTCTATAGTGTCCCCAATTAGCACTTTCGTGCTAAATACATTGACACTCAAATAAAGTTCACTTTTTTTATATTATGTCATCGGTCGAAAAATTGTAAAGAAACAACAGTAAATGTATGTTTTTACTGACGCAGGTATCGCTTATAAATTTCAAGCAGCTTTTTTAATTTGTAATTTATTTATTTTTGTCAATCTTCTCGTGCTTAAGTCGGTCAGTATTACCGTGTTTAATTGACGGAAATACTTGAATCGTAAAAGTTCCTTAATTCTGGGTTTTCAGGGGCACCCAACGAGAATATAGTTCAAAACCACTTAAACATAGCATTGTTGAACGTATTTTAGTATTTAAACGGTAGCCTGCTTTGCAGCCGTTGTGGAGAGGGACGAAATACGAGCTCCCCTAAAAAGGCCTGCGTGGGAGGCTAGCCACACACTCGTCTAAACCCTTTGTATAGTCCGTCTGCGAATTACTGCACAAAAGCTCGTTCTAATATCCTGCAGAGTCGCAAAGACATATGTGAGCGTTTCTGATAGGCGGGTTTCTTACGAAACTCACAATTGGCCTAATTTTTATGTGTCTGTGACGGTTGGGCGCAGTGACATGTAAAAATTCACAGAAGGGAGTTGGCAAGGATCGTTAACAGTAAAGACTGAAAGATTAGTTCGAATTTTAAAGCCGTCTTCTGAGCAAAAAGTAGCCTGAAATTCATCCGATTGCTTCGAGTCGTTTTCTCCTCTCAACAACGTCTGAATCGACCACAGGCGGCCCAAAGTCACGTTACGAGGGAAGGGTGTAATGTAAAACATACCATAGGCGACGCGCCGGTGTCGCGTTACAGGCGACCGTTGAAAATATAAGAGACTTTGTATGAGAAATATATCACTGAGATCTGCGAACGCTAAATAACGCTAAATCTTACTCGCAGATCTCAGTGATATATTTCTCATACAAAGTCTCTTCTATTTTCAACGGTCGCCTGTAACGCGACACCGGCGCGTCGCCTATGATATGTTTTACATTACACCCTTCCCTCGTAACGTGACTTTGGGCCGCCTGTGAATCGACCGGCCGTTAATGGCGTCCACTGACGTCACTCACTACCCGAAAACCGCGTAGTGAAAAATTTCGCTTGATATTAGGGACTTTAAGATTCGCTACGGCAAGGGGTTACTACAGCTACATAATGTCAAAATCACTTCCGGTGACGTCACCACGCGAGTTGCAGTACGGCTTTCCCGCCGTAGCCTCGTTTTCTGCTGCCTCAAATTGCCTTCTTTGCCGTACTCTTCACTACGTGAGTATTAACTGTCATTTCTTTGCCATTTTAAAGCTTATTTTACTTTTCTGAGAAGCTTACTTCAAAGACTAAGTACTTAGTCATACTTAGATATTCGTTAGGTATTATTGCTTCGTTATTTAAGCAAAAACTCAAAGGATTTGGATACGTTATAATCATGGCTGCAGACAAGAAATCCTCTAAAGAGTGCTTATTTAAGCTTATAGAAGTTTAATTTTAGTTTCAATAAGTGATTGTCAAGACTTAATTTCACGAGTACCTATTACAAAAATATTTTTATCTTTTGGCTTATTTGCCAGGGATGTTCCTAACAACTTGTTTCGCTTTGAGATTAAAATTTTTATAATTTACCGGTGCTAGAGCGAGCGAACGCTCATTGAAATGAATTAAAGTTGTATGACATTTATATTAGTTCAATCCCGACAGATTTAGACTAAATGTTCAATTCCGTCGCAATCGTTCCTTGGTAGCGTCTTATAACATCAGGGATTTGTAAAGCCCGTGCAAGCCTTGGGATGTCAGCTTTTTTGAAACGAAATTCTGTCAGACATTCATCTTCGTNGCTAGAGCGAGCGAACGCTCATTGAAATGAATTAAAGTTGTATGACATTTATATTAGTTCAATCCCGACAGATTTAGACTAAATGTTCAATTCCGTCGCAATCGTTCCTTGGTAGCGTCTTATAACATCAGGGATTTGTAAAGCCCGTGCAAGCCTTGGGATGTCAGCTTTTTTGAAACGAAATTCTGTCAGACATTCATCTTCGTTGAAATTTTAAAGGTCGAACTCGGGATACAAATGATATGGCAAATAAAGGTTTTCTGAGCTATACGAATTATATAACAACAGAAATTCAGCATCATTTACGAAATTCATGCCATAAGAAAGCACAGCAAGGTCTGTTATTTCTTTAAACGAAACCATTGAAGAGAAATCAACCAAAACCTAGACGGGAAAACTAGTCCTGTCGTCCGAGTTTCTTTACATTTTGTGACGGTTGTGACGTTGCCGTACCGAGCGTAACTTTACCATTTTGAGTTTTGGCGGGAGACCGCGTAGTCGCTCCAGCCCCTCCCGGTTACAACAGCCGTAGTAGAGCTCTTAAAGTCGATATTCAGCGGATCGCATCCCTAGCATTCTTTCGTTTAGTTCAAACATTTCGATAAGGTTAATCTTTATCTTAAACAGCAAAATTGCCCTTGTCTTCGAAACTGAAATGTTCAATTGAACTGCGAATGAAAAATCATTGCAGAGAGTCGGTAGGTTTTTCATTTAGAGCCGCTTTGTGGTCATCGGCGGCCGGTGATTTTGTTTACGCGAAGTTTTCTGAGATCAGTGTTATAATTCGACCTTCTCGCTATTTTTACCGTCAAGTGTAATGATTCTGTTAGCTTTTCTTTCTTGTCTCCTTGTTTTCTTTTCTTTGTTAAGGACCAAATAGCTTCTTTTCAATTAATGCAAATCATTGGGTTTTTGAACTAAGTGTTCCGTGTGTGTGTTTATTTCATTGCGTGATTGCGACCGAGTTTGATTATAGAATTTAGTACAACCGGTTCAGAGTTGTACTGCATGCAGTTGATAGTTTGAACGTTAAACATGAATTACGATCGAAAAAAATAAAGCAGTTCCGTATCATGCAGACATTTCCAAACGATATTTCTCGGTTTGCTACTTGAAAATCGTGTTTTACTTTGTGCATGAATTAAAGCGAAGGTCAAGGAGTAGTGACGTCACTGGACGGCATTAACGGCCGGTCGATTCAGACGTTACTGAGGGAGTAATAACGACTCGAAGTAATCGGATGAAATTCAGGCTAAGCAAAAAGTCCTTTGAGATAATTTCTTCAAGGCCAGAATTTCGTTGTAAATTTACCGGCTGGGTTTCCGGCGTCTTCCAATCGCTGCAGATGCACCACCGCATATTTTGCAATCTAGCCGACTGTTCTAGAGTGAAAACAAATCAGGAAATCATCACGATATTCACGATCAAAAAACTACACAGCTATTCAGGTCCAGGCATTTTGTTGAAAGCCAATGAAACTAAGGTTGTTTAGCCGCAATAAAAAAGCTTAAGGCTTAAACAGAGGTAAAGGAAAATCATTTATGCATCTGTGATCAAATCCTCTCAGAAAACATTTGCCAAAAATTACAGTCAAACCAGGTCAAGCGTATTATTCAAAAGTTGAATCCGTTGCTAGTTGTAGATTTCAGATTGATCTCTGCATTCTTGTATGTGTAATGAGCCGTGAATTCACACGCGAGGCAGTTATGAAATTTCTACCAGCTCCACTTTCCTGAAATTGATGTAGCTTGATGCAAAAGTATTCACTGCTCATTACGCATGAAGAAATGCCGCTTTGAATTTGACATCAGTTACGGGAACGACTAACGGATTCATTTTTCAAATAATCAATTCACTGATAGAATCTTGGGGGGTACGCTTGACTTTGTTTGACTGTAAACCACAGGAACTAATTACTCAATATGCATGGAACAGACCAGCTTCACAACCTCTAAATGTAGCTAAAGGTGAGTCTCAAGGCAGCAAAAAATATATATATTGCTCAGTCAAATTGTAGAATACTCCATGCACTGTATTAATTACGCAAAAAAACATCTGTTGTTCAAGCTACTCTAAAGTCAGGATTCGAACACGATATTGTGCACTAATTCGCAGACGCTCTATATAGAAGGTTTAGAGCGTCTGCGACGCAGTCTATTAAACGGTAGCTATAGGCATATTTTTATCCCCTAAAAATTTTTCATCTGTTCGGATTTCCTAGCTGAAAGTCTAGTGATGCGGAAAGTATAGGGATCAAAACTTACCTTTTGGAATATTTCATCCAGAAAAAAGGCTCCCGAAAATTCTAGGTGACCTTTCTAGAGTAAAAATCCGTTAAAAATGGGCAATTATACCACTTTTTAGATGTTCGAAAATCCTAGGAGAGGCAAGCAAGCAAGAAATTGACAACAAATGTTCCGAAAATTCTAGATCTCAAATCGTCTTCCGAACAGATATTTTCCAAAAATTGTCGTTGGGAAGGGAAAACTGTAAATTGTTATGGTCACTCCATGAAAAACCGGCGTTTCAGAAAGTAAATTCCCATGGTGTGAGTGTAAAGTTGGAAGGTTTCCCCCGCTCGGCAAATTAACCAACGACGTGTCCAATTTTGATCGCGGTTTTCCGTCTTTATACTTGATGTGCATTTTAATGAAATTGGCAACATTTTGAAATTAATTTTACGTTAGTCCAATGTTTTCAGGTGCCCTGCAAATGAAACTACAATCGTTCACCGGGTTTGATTCGCATACTGAGGTAAAGTCATTTATTAACGGAAAAATAATTTACATACCCAAAATTTGTCGTCTTTGTATACCCCACTCTTGCGCATAGTTGATTGCATTCGCCTGGTTGTCGTGGTGTATTTTTCAATAGCGCAATTCCTACACTATGAAGCGAGTGCAACCATTCGTACAATGTAAAGTCGTCTTCAATGACGTCTTGAAAATTGTAGCTTGGGATCTTGCCCTGGAGTTTATTGGCGTTCCAAACTCTTACTCCCTCTCTCTGAAGGGACGATCGCTCCTTCGTCGTATTTGCCTGTTCAGTAGCCTGTCTAGAATGAAGCCACTGCGAGCTAAAGAGACTAACATGTTTGTCTGGCCAAGTGATGGAGATTTGTTCACCATTTTGTAAAACCTCGACTCTCTGGGGTTGAATGTGCATATCTAGCTTGTTAAACGTGTCGTACGTTCGCTGGACTGAAGATTCGTGGAAACACTCGGAACATTGGCAGTTGTCGCGGAGGAAAACGAAGGGAAACCGACCTACCGTGTCGTTGTTCCATGTCACATTCAGCATCCGAGATCCACCTGCCTGCTGGACATTCTGCACATTTAGTTCTCTGTCGTAGTTTCCTTTTAAGACAGAAAAATATGCCCTATTTAGCCCTTTGGTGACCATGGGCCGACATCTGGAAATGTTATGAGCCAATCGGAAAAACATTGAATCTTGCAGTAAATATTCTGAACCGGCACAGCAGTCGTTCTGAGACTTAATATATGCTACAGCAACGCTAAGGTTAACAGCGCTTTGTACTAATGACGTCACAAATTTCTGGTCCCTGTTGTCTCTCAGACATTAAACCTGACCGGTGTAAGAGTTTAGTATGGGCAAGTCACCTTCGGCAACAAATTTTGGTCGTCTTTGAAGATGTTTATCGTTAAAGGAAACGAAATCCAGCTTGGTTTCGATAATAAATATCCTGAAAATAATCATCTCGTGCCAAGACAGCGTTAAACGTGGAAAAAACTGTACAGATGAGTGGTTTTATTTCTTATGCGGCGTCATAATGCTGTGTGTAAAAGTATGTTAAAATGTGTGGAGAGCAGGGCTTCATAGCTGTGCGTGAAACGGTTCATTTGGTTACATTTATAGGCAAAGGTTGCTCAATTTTTTTTTTTTTGGAGTGCTTATGTTACGCTACTTAGTACTACAGGATATAAAGTACTAAAGTATTCGTCGCAGATTCATATGGCCTACCTGGCCGCACAACAACAGAACAAACTTATACAATTTCCGGTTTGTGCTAATATTGGTGTGCTTTTCTCCTTAGATATTCTGTCACAGGCTTGCGAGAAGCACATCCAAACTCGATTTTCTCTTGAGCAATTTCGGTTTTGGAGTATTACACAACCAATAATGTTATGTCATGTTTCAGTGCATACCGGTTTTATGTAAACGGTTTTGTAGAGAGAAAACCGTCTACATAAAAACCCATAAAACGGCCATAAATCGGCCCGTGGACCACACAGGAGAGACGTAACACACATTTTAAGTAAGGTAAGCTGTTTTTTATTGAAATCCTTTCATTTTCGTAGGTTACAGAAACGANACCACACAGGAGAGACGTAACACACATTTTAAGTAAGGTAAGCTGTTTTTTATTGAAATCCTTTCATTTTCGTAGGTTACAGAAACGATAGGTTTTTTTCCCATACAAATCCTTATATTTTGAATGTTACGTAACAATGCCGATGCTCATATTTCGAGCTTGGGCTACCTGTGCTGCTTCCTGTATTCAGATCGATTTCAGTGAAGCGAGGAATACTAGATGAGAGATTTCAACCGTTTTTCGCTTTGTAATTGCCGTTTTTGTCTGTTTTTGGCGAAGAACTGTGAAACGTGACATAACGTGATCCAGAAAGACCAGTTTCGCATTCAAGAGCCTCTTAGAAAAGGATCTTTTAAATATCCGGGCGGAAATTCCAAGCGATTTACAAACATAATGACTTCCGAAACTGCTCAAAGTAGCTCAACACTTTTAATTGAGGTTCAATTTTGTTAACTTCGTTGAGGTACTATGTAATAAAAAATTCATTCCAAAATTACCTGAAGTCAAGAAAATTAATTCGGGTAGCTGCAAGACAAATTCTGGCTCTTTGCCGTTGCTACTTCTTTAAATTCTTGTTGTCACGAAGGTTAAGGTAAAGTCTGTAACCCCGGGGGGGCACTTTAGGAATTTCTGGGTGGGGATGTGCCGCTGGGAGCCTGGAACCCTTAACCTATACCAGAGCTAGTTCAGCTGAATTTTGCTACCCTATACTAGAGTAAACTCCCCAAATCCCCCTATCCTAGAGTAGCCGTGTACCTAGTCTAGGTAAAATCTTCAACCAACTGATCAGTTTCCTGAAAATGATACCCTATTCTAGAGCCAAACGCTCTGATTTATATACCCTATCCTAGAGTTAACTGTTTGAAAACCATACCCTTCACAGCGGCACATACCTATATAGCCCATATGTGGCAGTACCCCCCCTGGGTCTGTAACAAACCGTCCAAAAGTAAACGGAGGCTTGTTTTAGTCGTGCCAATTCAAATTTTAACCTTGCAATAAAAACAATCAATCAATAGGTTCCTGCAAGTAAACTTCTGGCTTATTTTTTCCCCTCCAATTTGTCAACTTTAAATTTCCGTTGTCACGTGAGATGCGCGGTAACTGGGCTGACTAGGCTTGCGGCACGAAACTTGCCTAGTGATTATCTGAAAAATATTCAGAGAAATTGCATTTGCGTGCGCCGGTTATGGCGTGCTCGAAATTCCCGAGGCAGTGTGTAAGTAAACAAACCCCATCAACGACCAGAAAGAGAATGTTACGTTCGGGGGTTACGTTTTGTAGGTAATGTTTGCTGCTTAAACGAGGAGCGGGGAGCGTGGAACGGGGAAGGAATAAATGAAAATGGAAAAAAACAGGGAATGAAATAACTGATGGAGCTCGGGTTCAACTATGGTTCTGTTCCCATCACCAAACGAGCAAATTCATACAAAGGGTACCCCTCCCGCTGCCGTATGTGTTTGCATGGCGACTTTGTACAGTAAAAACGCACGAGTAAGAACCTACATTTTCCAGGGTTAGCCTAAACAGGTTCTTACATAAATGGTGGTTAACATAAATTTGGGCTATCTAGGTTCATAATAGGTTCTTAATTTCTTGCAAAAAATTGTGTCGTTGCTAAGAAGATTTTAGCGATCAGCACCCCTAAATTTGCATATGTAACGGTTTCTTATATTTTAATATGACCATAATAGAGATCTATTCTCACATGAATTTTAATTTCTTGAGTCAAAACAACTTTATATACATGATTGTGCTGTAAAACACAATATTATAAACATTTTCTCAATGACCTTAACCAAACAACATTTATATATGTACTAACTTGCCTTTTGCAATTGCAATTAGTAAATATTTTTAAATGATTTTTGAAAATAAGAACCTTTCACCAAATTTTAGGCTAAAGAGGTTCTTATATAGAGGGGGTCTAAATTGCAAATTTTAGCCTAACAGGTTCTTAAATCTTAGGTTCTTACTCGTGGGTTTTTACTGTACTTGCAAACCGGTCAAAGTGTGTAATTCTGCGTACCCTACTCTTCTGGGTTAGATTTCCCAGGTTCAAGTGACTTTTCTTGCGTCACGGAGAAACAAACAGGTCTTTTTTATGTGGTCTTGAGTAGATTCTTTGTAATTGGGTTTAAGTATTTGTCAAGAAAACATGGCGAAGTCTTTTTGGACTTAAAAGCGATCTTTATCTCAACTACTGACCAATCTAATTTCACCTAGAGATTGCGTGTTTGTGATTACCATATACCAACACGAAAATGAATTAAATGCGAGTAATACGTCATAAGTTTGAGTGAATAGAGAGTAGAATGTAGTACTATAAATAGGACTGTTGTTCACAGTGACCAACCTTCACTTGCATTAATTCATACTATTTCGCTTGCTGATTAGTTTTGCTTCCTTTGGCATATAGTTAAATCGTTGCGAGTTCGTTTTACCGAATTTCTAGAACAAGCCTAAGAAATTCCTTGTCATTACCTCCTACGAGACGAGACTGGTGGTTTCACAGCTGACTAGTTTTGCTGACTAGTCTCGTGTTAACCTCTTGAAAGTATTCCACATTCTATATGATGCCCCCGGGGGGTGTACTACCTTATAGGAGGCTAATGTGGATGTGCCGCTGGATTCGGTCGCATTTTCACGATTGGACTGACTATAATGGGGTCGCACGTTTTCTGATATTTGGGGTAAGACAGTTTTCCATATTTACGGTTAGCAACGTACCAGAATGTTTGTACTGTAGGTGAAAAGTAAAGTGTTCTTCATTCAACACGAGAAGATACATAAATAGAAAGTGACTAGGTACCGCGAAAATTACACGTTTGCCCAAAAGTGACAAAGATGGGGTCTATAATTGGCCACAGAATAGACTATAATGGGGCAGGGGCTCTAAGAGGCCAGCAACACATACCCAGCAAAATTTCTTGCTTGCCTGCCCCTCCTAGGATTTTCGAACATCTAAAAAATGGTTTAATGGCCCATTTTTAAGGGATTTTTACCCGAAAAGGCCACTTTTCGGAGGCCTTTTTTTCTGGCTGAAATTTCCGAATAGGTAAGTTTTGATCCCTATACTTTTCGGATCACTAGACTTTCAGCTAGGAAGTTCGAACAGATGAAAAATTATTAAGCGATAAAAATATGCCTATATCTACCGTTTAAATACTAAAATACGTTCAACAATGTTATGTTTAAGTGGTTTTAAACTATATTCTCGTTGGGTGCCCCTGACAAATGTTGCAGCTTTCGTTTTGTTCACAAAGCTGAAACTTGCTGAACGGAATAGAGGCCAAAAACGTCTTTAACATTCCATTGCTCAACAAGAGCAGCAACGTTTGTCGATCAGCGTATTACTGGCGCTTGCAGATCGAGTGGCTTGAATTTTGCGGTTCTAATTTTTGCCAAATTTGCGGCTATTTTTACGATCCGCTCTACGTAAACAGATATAACCCACAAGAAAAACTAGTCTTTTCCCGTTTCAAAACCAGTCTTTGTCTGTTTTAACAAAGGAAATGCACTTGAAATGCAAATTCATGTGGTTTGCTTATAACTGATAAACTTCAATGCCGAAACAAGACAACAGAATGAAAGCATTCGTGAAACCTCAAGGTGGATATTCGAGTTCGAGTTAGACTACAAGTTCTAGTTCGAGCACGGGTTGGAGATCGAGTGATCTCTTTTTTGTGTTTTTTGTTCTGTTCTTTTTAAATGTAATGGTATTCAAATTTCTTTCGTCCATCGTTGTTTTGATAGATTATTACACAACAATCGTCGAGGATTGTTTGAGGGTGGGAATGGGGGTTGCGGGCGAGGGTGGGGGGGGGAGTTGGGTTGTGCGTCATTCACAAACAAGAAATAAATCCTGCACGTCGCGAGCAAAAGTCGCTGTTGTATGACAAATTTGGCAGGCCCTCTCCTGGGATGGGGCGACTGTACACAAGCTAATTATTTGGCTCGTGTTTCGCTGACAAATTGAGCGAACTTTATAGTGATATAAATTGTAAAAACAAGAAAAAATTGGAACTGATCTCCTCAGTTCAACAAACCTACAGTCCATCACGTAGTT